CTGTTGATAACAAGGCAATTTCTATGAAAGCAACGAGACTAAAAATATAAAAGAAAGAGGGAGAAAGCTAAATAGAGAAGACTTTGGACAGTCAAGTGAAAACAACAGTTCATAAAGGTAAACAAAACAGAAGTTAACTCAGACTTTCCCACGATGGCATTTAACTCTAGAGACAAGTGACACCTGCGAAAAGTGCGGACTAAGAATTTTATATCCTAAAAAGCTATCGATCAAACATGAAGACTAGAAACCTGGCTCAATATGCAAGAACTCAGTAAGTCTTTTTCATTTAGCACCTTTTGATGGAACTGCTGGAGAAGGAATTTCAGAAAATCAAGAGAAAAATAGGAAAACTTCATTAAGAGAACTGACAGTGAGCAGTGAATCTATCTGTAGGGCCAATGTGAGGATTATGGTCATATATAAATAAAAATCCCCGAATTTAGAAATGATACAGCAAACAAAACTTGTGAAGAAAAGGAGGAAAGAAGAAGAGAGTTGTTAGTCTCTGATATACTTCTTTTCTTTTTTTTTTTTCCTTTGAATCAGAGTCTTACTCTGTTGCCCAGGCTGAAGCACAGTGGCATGATCTCGGCTTACAGCAATCTCTACCTCCCAGGTTCAAGCGATTCTCCTGCCTCAGCCTATTGAGTAGCTGAGATTACACACACCAGCCACCATGCCCAGCTAATTTTTGTATTTTTAGTAGAGACTGGGTTTCACCATGTTGGCCAGGCTGGTCTTGAACTCCTGACCTCAAGTGATCCACCCACCTCAGCCTCCCAAAGTGCTGGGACTACAGGCGTGAGCCACCGCACCTGGCCTAAGTCTCTGATTTCTTTATCTTTCTTGTGGGGGAGAGGGCAAAAATAAGAAAAAGATAGCATAGAGGTATAAGCGCATTTCAAGACAAACACTAAGAAATACAATATAAAAACTGGATGGCAGAAAAAAGGAGAAGGAGTAAGAGAGAAAATACTCACTTTTCATAAGTGCTTTTAGTAGGAAACATACTGCTGAAAAAGGAATTCAGGGCAAGTGTGAAGGCTCACACCTATAGTCTCAGCACTTTGGAAAGCCAAGTGGGTAGATGGCTTAAGCCCAGGAATTTGAGACCAGCCCAGGTACAGTGGTGTCAGCCTATAATCCCAGCTACTCAGGAGGCTGAGGTGGGAGGATCACCTAAGCCTGGTAGGTAGAGGCTGCAGTCCCGTCTGGATGACAAACCAAGACCCTGTTTCTTAAAAAAAAAAAAAAAAAAAAAAATGTAATGTATGACAAACTCCAAAAGGAAAAAAAAGGAGCTACCACCTTTGGGGAGAAAAACTCTTTACAAGTTAAAGGGGAAGTCAAAACCAACATCTATGGCTGGGCACGGTGGCTCACACCTATAATCTCAACACTTTGGGAAGCTGAGGCAGATGGATCACTTGAGGTCACTTGAGGTCAGGAGTTCAAGACCAGCCTGGCTAACATGACAAAATCCTGTCTCTACTAAAAATACAAAAATTAGCCAGAAATCACTTGAACCTGGGAGGCAGAGGTTGTAGTGAGTCAAGATAGCACCACTACTCTCCAGCCTGGGCAACAGAGCGAGATGCCGCCTCAAAACAAAGAACCTCTGAAACCCAGAACATACAGAAATAGTAAGGGTGAAAACACAGCAGATTCTACTTAAAGAAAAAAAAAGGTCTCAGAGGAAAAGCTATATAGTTTTAAAATCTTATCTTTTCAGGGGCTAGGGGAATAAAAAACTTATCTCAAGCCAGGCACAGTAGCTCACGCCTATAATCCCAGCGCTCTGGAAGGCTAAGATGGGTAGATTTGCTTGTTGCCTGGGCAACAGGGCAAAACCCCATCTCTACAAAAAAAAATAATACAAAAATTAGCTGGGTGTGGTAGTGCATGCCTGTAGTCCCTGCTGCTCAGATGAGGTGGGAGGATCGCTTGAGCCAGGAGGTGGAGGCTACAGTGAACTATGATTGTGCCACTGCACTCCTGCCTGGGCAACAGAGTGAGACTGTCTCAAAAACAAAAAACCACCAACAAGACAACAAATCCTTATCTTTAAATAAAGAAACTAAATTATACATCTAACATAGAAAGTTAGAAAAGAAACAAAATAAACTTTTAAAAAGTACATAGAATACACAAAAAGTGAAGATTAATGGATTAGAAAATGAACACGCAGGCATTTCCTCAATATCTGTGTACACCTTCCCTATGCTCAAAACAGGGGCCAAGCTGGGGGTCACTGCCCCTTGCACTGCCCTCTCCCCTCCCTCCTCCTCCTCCCTACCCTTCTTGGGGCTTACCAGGCACCCCCTCAAGGCCTGATCCACCCCCACCTCACCTCAGCTCTCTGCGCTCCTCCAAGGATGGCCCACCTGCTTCAGGGGCAGAGGGGACACTCAGGGTTGCCCAGTGCGAGGGGGCTAGTAGCCCCCAGAAGATGACCCGTGTCATGCAACAGCTGAGTGGATGGACCAGCAGGTGGCAGCAGGTGGCAGCTACGGACACGGGGCGGACACAAGGCCACTCACAACCCTTCCCTATTCCGCAGAGCAGAGGCCCCCCCAACCCTAGCTGCATATGTGACTTACCAGGGAGCTTTTAAAATGCCTCTGGCCACGCACAGAGGCTCTCGCCTATAATCCCAGCACTTTGGGAGGTGAGGTGGGTGGATCACGGAGGTCAGGAGATGACCATCCTGGCCAACATGGTGAAACCCCATCTCTTTTTTTTTTTCTTTTTTTTCAGCAACTCAAATTCAAACATACTCCAAGAGAAACCCCATTTCTTCTAAAATACAAAAACTTAGCCAGGCATGGTGGTGGGTGCCTGTAATCCCAGCTACTCAGGAGCTGAGGCAGGGGAATCGCTTGAACCCGGGAGGTGGAGGTTGCAGTGAGCCTAGATTGTGCCACTGCACTACAGCCTGGTGACAGAGTGAGACTCTGTCTCAAAATTAAAAAAAAAAAAAAAAAAGCCAGGGTCTAAGTTCCTTCCCCATACACTCTGATTGAATCAGCTCATGTCTCTCCACATTGGTCATCTGGTTCCAAACAGCAAGGAGCACTGGGGAAAAGGCAGCCCAGGGCATAGAAAACAGTGGGCGCTCTGGAGCCATTATTTGGAGTCTAAGCCCCATCTCTGCCTCTCACTGGCTGTGTGATCTCAGGCTGGCACCTTACCCTTCCTGAGCCTCAAGGTTACCATCCGTAAGATATAATTCCCTCCCAGAAGGCGCTGGGGATGGGTGATTGTACATGTAAACCTTTGGCTGCCTCTGATTCCCAGCAGGTAGGCTAGGCTCCAGGACCACCTGCCCCCTCTGGGGAGTCCAGATGTGAGCGAGACAGGGCAGGGAGGCTAGCCCCCCAAACACAAGCCGCCTTGGATTCACAGTACCAGCTTCGGGGGCTATTCTGGTTCCAATTCAGAATGCCTGGCTCCTGGCTCAATGGGCTTTGTCCCAGAGATGTAATTTCTATTTTGATTCCATGTGACATTTAATGAAATGGCTTTCAGACACCACGCAGTGTCTGAGTTATGAAACCACAGCTTCCGGATCCTCAGTGAGCCTCATGATGACAGGACCCCTTTTGCTGCTTCCAGAGCTGCCCCAAGTCTCTTGAGGCCTGGGTGAGGACCACCGAGGTAGCATCTTCACTCCGGAGTCCCTGCCCCAGGCCCACTGCCTGGCACTAATGTCTCTCATCCTGGCTGGACTCGGACTGACAGCAGCCCCTGCCTGGGCTCCTGCCTCAGTTTCCCTCTTGCCAATCCAGTGCTGTTCTAACTGCAGATCAAAAATATTCAGGGAGACAGGAAGCCAGTGTAGAGGCTTGCAAACAGCATTGTTCAAAGAACAAATGAGCCGGAATAGAAGGAGAACAGAACACGCCAGAAGGAGCTGCACACGGCAAGGGCGACTGCGACTCACAAGCAGGATGCGAGTATGCACGCTAGGTCTCTATCTGTGTGAACTGGGAGAAATTTTGAAAGACACTGCTCTAACCCACCACCAGGCCACTCCCCAGTTACAACTTTCAGGATGGACTTTAGACCCCTCAACACAGCACTGAAAACCCCTCCAGACCTGGCCCCTGTCTACCCACCCACCCGGCCCACAGCCGGCTCCCACATACTGAGCCGCTGGCTTCTGCAAACTCTGCCAGGAGCTCCCACACCTGCCTGGAATGCAATAGCCTCCCTCCTCCCACAGGCCTCCTTCCCACAGCCTCCACTCTCCCACAGACTGCTATCAATCCTTCACCCTTCAAGGGAAGGGCCACCTCCTCTGTGGTGTCTCCCTGGTTCCCAGCCTGGGGCGTCCTGGCCCATGCTCACGCTCCACTTGCACACTTTGCCATCGCCCCTGCCAGCCTGGGGGTCATTATCATTTCCATGCCACCCTGCCCTTCCCCAGTGCACAGCTGGGACTTCCCTCGTAGGGGCTGGCTGAGCCCCTGGGTGCTCGCTGAGGTACCATTTGCTGACAGCAAGTGTGGGCTGATACTGGGACCTCTCCCAGGTGACCCTCTCCAACATGCTGACTCCCCCGGGGCAAAGATGACCTCCTAGATTCTATAGAAGCAAAGATATAAATATTTCTGGAGCCCTTCCATTCCAAAGGAAGTAAAAGTCCTACAATTTCTCAACAACTTGGCTATTAAAAATAGGAATTCCACCTACACACCGGAACTGTTTGCCAGGGATGGTGGAAGGGCCAGAATCGTGAGGTCACACGTTTTCAGAACTGAAAAAGCTGCTGGGCCCAGAAGCTGAGTGCTGTCAGAAGGCAGGCAGCTGTCTGCAGCTGGTGCTACATCCCCGAGGCCCCAGAAATCTCTAGAACCACAGGGACGCCAAATGGTACTCTGCCAAGAGTTTCTTAAAACTCACTTCCCCACCACATTGTGAACAGCTGCACAGCACAGGTTCCAAAGAAAACCGAAAAAGAAATCATGCATTAGCGAGCAGATATAACACCTCACCTTCGACCTCAGAAGAGTGTGGGAGATGCCTCGGGCCCGGCTCCTGCTGCCACCTCCTTCCACTCCCCGTCCTCAGAACACAGCCCAGAGCTGGGGTCCCCTGAGGATTCAGTCTTCTGTTTTCATCTCCCGGCCCTCAAGGCCTGAAGCTCCATCCTTCCACCACCCCTTTGGGTTACAGGAGAGTCCCTAGCAGGTGCTGTGCGTGAACAGTGATGGCAAGGTAGGCACGCATTCTGTCAGCATCCACAGCCACTCGAGAGACAGCCTGAGTGGAGACGGGAAAGGAGGAGGAAGGGGAAGAAAGTGGGCAGAAGGGCCGGGCGCGGTGGCTCATGCCTGTAATCCCAGCACTTTGGGAGGCTGAGGCAGGCAGATCACGAACGAGGTCAAGAGACCAAGACCATCCTGGCCAATATGCTGAAAACCTGTCTCTACTAAAAATTAAAAAATTAGCCAGGTGTGGTGGTACGTGCCTGTAATCCCAACTACTCGGTAGGCTGAGGCAGGAAAATCGCTTGAACTCGGGAGGCAGGTGTCGCAGTGAGCCGAGATTGTACCATTGCACTCCAGCCTAGGCGACAGAGCGAGATTCTGTCACACACACACACACAAAAAAAAAGTTGGCAGAGGAAGCAAGCCCCACTGATGCCCCCCACTCTGCTGGCCAGAGGCTCCAGTCATGGTCTCAATAGGCCCCACCAGTGCAACCCGCATGTGCCTGCGTCAGACACAGCTGCTTCCCCTGAGGGTCACTTACTCACTCATGCATTCAACAACACTACAAGTGCCCGGCCAGGTGCTGGCTGAACCCACAGTGGGGACACAGACCCCATCCCTGCCCTCAGGGCACTCACAGCTGGAACAAGCCATCAGAAACATGATTCTGTACACTTTCGACAGCATGAAAAAGCGAAGTGCTAACCACCCGGGGCCATAAGGGCAGGGAGGGGGCCCTAATCTGGCCTCCCTGGGTCTGAGGAAACTCCTGGGGAAAGTCATCTCTAAGTTGCCACCTGAAGGATCAGGAAGGGGTGGGTGGGGACAAGGTCCAGGGTCCTGTGTGAAGGCAGGAGGCTGAGGGATGTCGTGTTTAAGAAGTTCAGACTCAGGGAGTTTCAAGGCAGAGGTGAGCCGGGAGCCCACAGGTACCTGGGCTCAGGTAGGGCAGAGAGCTGCGGTGAGGGGAGGGGCTCACGTGACACAGCCACACGGTCTGAGGTGCTGCCTGAGAGACCATTCCAGATGCTCTGTGTGCAATGGACTGAGGGAGGGTGAAGGCGGGGGAGGGGGGTCTTGCCCTGCTGGGGGCCTGAGCCCTGGAATGGAGGGGGATCTCAGGACCGCACTGCCTGGGGCGTGCGGCGAGGGAAACGGGAGGGTGAAGGCTCCCCCGCCTGGCCACACGTAGAACAGCAGGCTGGCAGGGCCTGGATGTCTGCCATCGGGGACCAGGTGGGGGAGTGTGGGGGCGCTGTTCACTGAGGTAGAGAACAGCAGGTAACAAGCACCGCAAGCCACCTCCAAGGCGGCGCCTCTTCCCCCACCGTGCAAGTTGCCATCATTTCTCTCTCACCTGAAAGCTGCAACCATCTCCCACTTCCACTGGCGCACCCTGACACACAGAAGCAGGGGTGTCCCTTTCAAGACAGAAGGCTGATCAGACCTTCCCGAGCTTCTCATCCCCTTAGAAATGCAATCCAGACTCTACCTGGGTCTGCGGACCTGCCATGTACACACCCTCTCCCCACTGACCCGCCATCTCCCAGCCCTCACTCTGCTCTGACCACTCAACAGACGTGCCTGCTACAGGGCCTTTGCTCTTGGTGACTGCCTGAAACACGCTTTCCTCCCCTAACCATGTGGTAGGTCCCCATTTCCTGCGGTTTCCTCTCATCTCCCCACATGAAAGAGAACAGGGCATCTCCCGCCCCTTCCCCCCTGCTTTCCTTGTCTTGGGAGCTTGTCACCCTTTGACTTACCACACTCTGGGTGGGTGATGGTCCCCGTCTTCCCGAGGGCATGGACTCCATCTGCTCAGCACTTCCTAGACTCCCAGCACCTGCCGCAGAGCACACGGGACGGCTCAGTGACTGTGTGCTGGAGCAGCCGCCTCCCAGGGCCATAGCCACCTCCCAGGGCCTGTTTCCCATGCTTGGAACAGTATCCCACCCTCACCTGCTCTTTCCTTCCCAGCAAGAACAGGTTGAGGGCTCTTGCCCTCCTTCCAGCCCTTCTCCTTCCCAGAGCTAATCACGTCCTCCTCCGTATGAGCTTGGAACCCTTAAGCACATGGGCTCTTGACTCTAAAACCAGACACCAGGCCTCCTCCATTCCAGCACAACCACAGATAATATCCGCTGTCCACCACTGCCCAGGCCTCTGCTGGCAGTGACAGAGGATGCAGAAGCAGAAGATGCACGCCCACGAGGGCTGCCAGTCTCCCTGGAGAGGACACACTAACATGGGGACGACATCCTAGCACAGCACAAGATGCGTGTCAGTGAACGGAGCTAGGTGGCACCAACTCTCTGAAGCCCCAAATGGAACACAGGGGTCGGGGGCGGGGTAAAGGGAAGATGGGACGGGAGGTGACAGTTTTGCCACCTGCAGACTTAACTTGAGTCCCAGAGCACACAGCTGGTCAACAGCAGAGCTGGGCCTGGCTGGGTCCATCAGGTTCAAAGCCAGAGGTTTCTGAACTCAGAATGGCCCCCACTGGCCAACTCCTTTGGACAGAAGCAACTGACTCCCACATCTCCACAAAATCCCAGGCTCCTAAGCGACTTCCAGAGGCTAAGCACAATAGTGGGCAGACACACAAGTCACAACATGGGCCCTACACATACATGACAGCAACATAGGCGAGACACAGCCCCAGCCCCTGGCTCACAGGAGCTTGGGCCGCCAGCCTCCACATGCCCAGAGTACCTCCCCCTAACCCTGGTCCAGAGCTCAGGGTCCCTCTGCCTACAGCCTTCCGGGGACCCAGAACAGCCTTCTGCCTGGGTAGCTGCTTCCCCAGTGGCTGCAAGTGCTCATCAACACTTATTATAAGAACATTATAGGAACATTTACATTGGTATGCTGCATCCAGACCCATCTCACATGCAAGGATACACAAAGACTCAAAATAAAGGGATGGGGAAAGATTTACCAACCAAATGAAGAGCAAAAATAAATAAATAAAAAGCAGGAGTTGCAGTTCTTGCCTCTGATAAAATAGATTTTAAAGCAACAAAGATATAATGGTAAAAGGATCAATGCAACAAGAAGAGCTAACGATCCTAAATATATACGCACCCAGTGCAGGAACACCAGATACATAAGACCTTTAAGGAGACTTAGACTCCCACACAATTATAGTGGGAGACTTCAACATCAACATTAGCTAGATCGATGAGACAGAAAATTAACAAGGATATCCAGGACTTGAACTCAGATCCGGAACAAGTAAACGATAAATATTTATAGAACTCTCCACTTTAAATATATAGAATATACACTCTTATCAGTACCACATCACACCAACTCACAGGTTTAAATGAAATATTGGTTGGCCATTATTAAGCACAATTATTGGCATAAAAGAGGTTTTCAAGACCCATTTTTAGAATAAAGCAACACTCCCGTTCTTTCTCCCTCTTCCTTTCCTTCATTTTTTTTCTTTCTTTTTCAAAAAAAAAAAAACAACTAAAAAAAAAGGAACATTTAAACAGCAAAATATAATAGAAAGAAAAACTGCTCTCCCAACCCGCCCAAGGTGCCCCTTTATTTCTCCAAGTGGGACACCTTCCTCTCTATCCATATGTACACATTTGTATGACAACATAACCACAAAAATAAATAAAGAGCAAAAGTAAATAAATAAATAAAAAGCAGGAGTTGCAATTCTCGCCTCTGATAAAATAGATTTTAAAGCAACAAAGATATAATGGTAAAAGGATCAATGCAACAAGAAGAGCTAACGATCCTAAATATATACGCACCAGTGCAGGAACACCAGATACATAAGACCTTTAAGGAGACTTAGACTCCCACACAATAATAGTGGGAGACTTCAACATCAACATTAGCTAGATCGATGAGACAGAAAATTAACAAGGATATCGAGGACTTGAATGTACCCAGCATTTTATGTTCTGCTATTTTATCATTTTCCTGTAAACAGCTTTCCATGTGTTTAAACCTGCTCTGCATGTTTCTCATCTAGAGTGAACTGGTTAGCACTCCATTAATAACCAGCTGAGTGGGCACTTGCTGGCTCAGCCACCGCCGACGCCATGCACCACCTTCCCATCAGCTCCACTACAGACCCCTCAGAGTTCATCAAGCATTTTCAATAAAGACAAATAGAAAATGCAGGCCACGGCAGCTATTCTAGTCTGTTATCCATGGTGAAGGCAGCCACACACCATACAAACAAGTGTGGCTGCGCCCTAACAAGGCTATTTATGGGCCCTGAAATTTGAATTTCATAGAATCTTCATGCAACACGAAATGTTTTTTTGATTTTTCAAACACATCCCCAGCTCCTAGTTTGTACAAAACCACACAGGAACCCCATCTGGCCCACAGGCTGTTTCCTGACCCCTGGCCTTAGTACTCCTGCTCCACTAACATTGGAGGATCCAGGGGTGGGGAAGAAAAGTCCTAGAAAGGAGTGAAGGGGGAGGGTGGAAACTGAGAAAGAGAAGGCAGGCCCAACAGACCACTCTCTGTGTTCCAGAAAGTTCTAGGACTTGCTTCCAATTCCCAAGGGCCCTGGGACAGTCAGTTCTCTGAGGACAACCGAAGCCTGGGACCAGAGAGATGGCTCAGCACCTCATTTTCCCGATGGAGGGGAAGGGTCACCAAGAGAGATGGGGAAGAGCAGACCCCAATCCACTAACTGTCATCTCCTCTGCCCCCACCAAGGTAGTGATTCCAGCCTTTGACACCCCCACTTCTAGTCTGCTTGTCACCAGCTCACAGTGGCAAAAGTCCCCTCCAGACAATGCCCCACGAATCTTTTTAATGACAAGTGGCCTAAAATGCCAGGAAAGCTCCTTCTGAAAAGGAAATCAAACTTCTCTCTGCGAGGCAGACCCATCCTCTGCTGCCCCGGCATCCTAAATCATCTCTTAGAAATAAGAGCCAGTGCCCTTGCCAACAACTTCTACTTTAGATGTGCCAGATCAAACCCAGAGACAGAAAGTGGCCCAGTGGCTGCCCAGGGCTAAGGTGGTGGAGGGGAGTCAGGGCATGACTAATGGACACAGGCTCTTTTTGGGGTGGGCAAAATGTTCAACCGTAGGGATGACTACCCGTACCTGTGAATATACTAAACCACCGAACCGTATACTTTATTACTATTTTCTTTTTATTTCTTGAGTCAGTCTCGCTCTGTCGCCCAGGCTGGAGTGCAATGGCACAATCTCTACTCACTGCAACCTCTGCCTCCTAGGCTCAAGCAATTCTCCTGCCTCAGCCTCCCAAGTAGTTGGGATTACAGGAGGCTACCACCATGCCTGGCTAATTTTTGCATTTTTAGTATGGTTTCACCATGTTGGCCAGGCTGGTCTCGAACTCCTGACCTCAAATGAACCATTCACCTCAGCCTCCCAAAGTTCTGGGATTACAGGAGTGAGCCACCGCACCCAGCCAAGAGCCATACAGTTTAGATGGGCAAACTGAATGGCATGTGAAAAGTTATTTATCAAAGCATGTCAGGCACTTTACTCATGTAAATTATCACAAGCCCGTTTAGCCTGAATTACAAATCCTAGTTCACGGAGCAGTTTTCAAAAACGGAGGTGACAGGCTGAGCATGGTGGCTCACGTCTGTAATCCCAGCACTTTGGGAGGCTGAGATGGGCAGATCACTTGAGGGCAGGAGTTCAAGACCGGCCCGTACAACATGGTGAACCCATCTCTACTAAAAAACACAAAAGGTGGCTGGGGGTAATCCCAGCACTTTGGGAGGCCAAGGCAGGCAGATCCCCTGAGGTTGGAAGTTCGAGACCAGTTTGACCAACATGGAGAAATGCCACCTCTACTAAAAATACAAAATTAGCTGGCCATGGTGGCACATGCCTGTAATCCCAGCTACTCAAGAGGCTGAGGCAGGGAAATCGCCTGAAACCAGGAGTCAGAGGTTGCAGTGAGCCAAGATTGCATGATCACACTCCATCTCAAAAACAAGGCAGCAGACAGACAGGTGATGGCTCCTGAAGTCAACCCTTTGCTGCAGCGGCTCCTGTGCCAACAGGATTTGGAAGTGTCCTTCAGTAACTAACACTGGGACCCACATCAGTTTAGGGGAAGGTCAGAGCAGCCCCAAGACCTATTCCAGCCCTCCAAAGCAAATCTCTTCCCATCTCATCCTGGCACTCCATCTGGAGGAGAGGCTAGACACCCCCTGAAGTAGAGAGGGAAGACTCAGAGGCTAAGGACAGGCCTCAGCCAGGCAGCTGCTGCCCAAAAGGCTTTCTGAAAACTAAAACCTCCCCACTTTCCAAGGTAAGTCACTGCTTCCCATTCACCCCATTCCTAAGTATGGGGATCCATCTGGGCATGTGAGTGCCTGTCCCTAGACTTTTCATGGCCATAAGCTACCTTTCTAGCATGGTACCCAGGGCATCACAGGCCTGTGACACTGACTTGGGAGTCTCAGGTAGAAGCAAATTGGAAGTAGCCCCCACCCTTGATGTACAGACAGTAAGAGAGCCCCTGGTCCTATCAGGGCAGGATTCCCACAGCCAGTGACAAGGGGCAAAGCAGAGCTCACCCTCTCCTACTACCACAGTGAAGTGACCAGGGAGGAAAGGCAGGCTGAAGGTGGACATGACCAAACCCTTACACATGGCTCACTGCCCAGCTGGTGGTTTCAGGAGCCATTTCCTTGAGTGGACAAGCATGAGGCCAGCAAGTGCGAGCTCTCCCATCAAGAGGGGCACATGCAGTGAAGGGACAAATATGGACAGGTTCAAGTTCTGGGCAACCACTGGTTTTTGTGCAGGCCAGTCCTCTGTGAGACACATGGCCTCCAAGCCTCCTGGCCACATCTGTAAAATGGGGGTG